CAAATTAATTCAAACTTCTTCCTCCAGATGCTCAAATTTAGGGAAAAACATATTTTGTCCAGTGAATAATTAAACTTAATTTGTACATTAAACTTAGGTGTCATTTCCTATTATATAAGTTTGAATGAAAATAAATAAGGCCAGTTATTAACTTAATGCTATTGTTTTAAGAAACTTGTGTGTTTTCCACATGGTATTTTGTTTGTTTGTTCAATTTTCTATTGGAGTACCTGTCTTGTTTCTAAATCATCAGTGTACAGGTCCATCAATGCAAACTGCCAATGGAGGATTTAATATATTAAGTAGTTGTTGCACAACTGACTTCTCCAAGAGGATTTCCTAAATCACTTCATAGAGAAGGTCAAAGCACTTATTTTTTCTCCCTCCAAAGTATTAGGCAGATATGAAATATAAAGCTATATTACTTAGCTATGTTACATAATACTCTGAGTAATTGGTAATTTGTTTTCCTAATGACAAGTTAGGAAGGTCTCAAAGAGACTAATTCTTAAAGCTCTGGGTAGCATCTTTTTTTTGTGGAGGAAGTTGTCCAAATGATGTTAAAACATTTTCTCTTTTACAAAAAAGCTATATTTGCACATTATAGAACAATCTGAAAATACTGATAAGCAAAAATGCCCTGAAAACATTTACAATTCTTAATATCCAGAGACTAAATACCTTGAATCTTCCAGGTCTTTTCCTAGGACATGCTTAAATACATATGTGCATGTATGTGGGGGTAAAATTGCAGTATTTCCAGAATCTCTCACCAGGCTTTAGTGCATCTGCATATCAACAGGTGTTTCTAACTAGTGGAGAGAAGTACCGTCTGCATATCAATAGTAAGAGGAGAGTTTGGGTGGAGCTCCTGCTTCTGCAACTGGGTGGGAGAGCAGAAGTGAACCACTGCTTGCAAGCAGTAAATGGGTTTCTCCCACTTTATTTCTCCCTTTGACTGATTTCTGTTTCAAAGGTATTTTGCCCTGGGATTCCTCTTGCACCCCCCACCCACCCCCGCCAGAGTTACAAAGGGTGAGACTGATTTCTAAAGTAGTCATTGTTTGGAGTTATTTCTGGCCTATTTTCCATGCATTAGCACTAATATCTAATTCTATTAGTTATGAATCAAGAAGTCAAGTGTTGATGGACAGTGGCTGCAATGGGGTATGCGGGGGACTCCATAATATGGGTGAATGTAGTAACCACATTGTTTTTCATAGAAACCTTCATAAGAAAGTATCAATGATACCTTAATAAACAAAAAAGAAGTCAAGTGTTTATTAAGCCCTCTAAGAATGTTTTTTCTTTTTAAAAAGTAGTGTTTATTTTCCTGACTGTAAAAGAATAACATTCATTACAGAGGATATGAAAAAAATTTTAAGTATAAAGAAAACTTAAGTGGCCTATATTCCTACTATTCAGCAATAACCAGTTAACATTCTTATGTAATTGTTTCTAGTGTTTTTCCTATGCATATACATGTATTTTTACAAAGTTAGGATGACTATCTATATATATGATCAAATGAACTTGAAACACATTTTTAAAAATTTCCATAAATTTTAAATGTCCATATTTCAAACTGATATATCAGTTTAAAGATTTTACTATTGTTGACTCAGATTATATTTTCCAAATTTTGTCATTATTAATGACACTGCAATAAGTGTTTTATATGTAAATCTGAATTTCTATTTTCTTTGGATAGATTTCTAGGAGGGCAATTATTGGATCAAAGGTCATAAAATTTTTATGGTTCTTAATACATCTTGCCAATAAGTATCTTAGGAATATTAAGTACAGTTTTGAAATTGTATCTCAATTTTTATCAGGCAGATAGATTCAAGGTGATATACTACTGGATAGAAAAAAATGGGCATTTATTATGGATAACACATCCTTGTATTAAACTTGTTTCTACCTATGCAGAATGGTCTCTAGTAAATGGACATTACTGAAATGAATCATTATAAATTCTGAGTAAATTAAGAAAAACCATACTAAAAATTAGTGTGGAAACATTTTTAGTAGTCTTGTCAATTATAGGCTTATGCATGTCTGAGAAGACACAGCTGCTTTCATTGCCAAGTAAGCTGCACTAATGTTACACAAATGTTAAGTAACTAAAATAGGAAAGAGAGTAACCACCTGCGCAAAGTTTAGTTGTTTGAGATCTCATGTAGGGTTCTGTGCTGTTCCTTAATCATCCTGGTTATATCTAATTGCCAGAGCAGTGATTTTCTGTTGTTACTGCTCAGCCTTGCAAAAAGAACTCTCCTAATGGAGAGTGCTGGGTCAGAGTTTCCTTTTGTACTTCATAAAGAACACTAGGTATGCATCCTGATCAAATTGACCTAACACTCATACTTTCTTTCACAATTTTTTTTTTCACTCAAGATGTGTCACTATCTTCATGATTGCCACTGAAGATAATGAAGATTCCAATATTCCCTTGGAAATCTTAAAAGTTGTGCAGAATTTCTAGTGAAATCTCATTGGTCACATTCCATTCTGAGACCTTGTAGAGTTTGTCTTTATTGAAGCTGTTAAATTGATCAATATAGACATATCTGTATAGGGTGGGGAGAGCAACTATTAGTTTAGGCGTCCTAAGAAAGCCAGTTTGGGAACTTGTGGAAAGAACTGACCTGTTTTGTGTCCTGTTCCTATGTATGTATGGACAAGCATGATTGTTCAGAATACCCAATCCACAAATTATTTGACTCAAATTTTAATTAAGGGTTTAAATTCAAAATGTTTGAAACTGCTGAAACTTCAAAATGGAACATCATAAAATGAAAAAGGAGTCAATATATTATTTAGACAGCTAGACTTCAAATACAAAAGCACTAAAAATTGGTGGCTTGCTTGTTTTGACATTTCAAATAAATTTTAATTGAAAATAAAAACATATAAATTCTGCTGCACAGCTTATAATCACAAGCTTAGTATAATACATATTACTATACACATAAAATGTGACTTTACTGCATGTCATTGGCAAAAGCACCTAACTTTTCAATGCCCTGTACTTGGAACATATTTTTGTTAGAAAGGTTTCATCACATACTTCAGATATCTTTTTCAATTTTATGTTTGCTTGGTTGATTTCTACAACAGACTTGTATACCCTTACCCATGGCAACATTCTGGGTGGTATTTGCATACATCTGAAATTTGGGAAGGTCACCTGAATGAACAATCCTTGACTGTGGTGTATGTTAATAACATATATTTATCACCTCCATCTCTTTTTCCTCAGAAACAGTCATGTGAGAAATCATCATGTTTCTTTGATGAATTTTATCATAAAAATATCACATTCATTCTGCATATTTATTAAATTAACTTTACTGGGGTATAATTTAGATAAAATGCATCCAGTTAAACTGTACATCATGATGCACTTAGGTAATGTATATTCACACATTCTGTGTGGTTTATAATTTGGAGAGATGGGTAACCTGACTTCAGTCCTAAACTGGTCATGTACTAGCCATGTGACCTTGGTCAAGTTAACTTCTCAAAGCTTTGATTCCTTCTGTAAAATAAGGATAATGGTGGTCTCACAGAGTTGCGGAGGTTCAGTGAAATAATAAACAGCAAGTGTCCAGCATACAGCCTGTCCTCAATTCACCTTTTATAGTAAGTGGGATTATACAGAACAAAACAAGAAACAACTTTTGTTTCTAAATTTTTATATGGGGTCTTTCAAAGTAGAAATCTATGAATTCATCATTTCTTCTTCACTTCTGTTAACCATATTCACTTATTCTTTGTCAGACGCAGTAGGAACAGCATACAAACACTGGAGAAATAGTGTATCTTTTACCTCATTTGCCCACAACTCAGAATTTTCAGTATGTCCTTGTTAGCACTGACAGGCACATATGGTACCTTTCACTCTGCTGCCAACCACTGCTGAGTAATTTCTAAAGGATAACGTTTCACTAGGAATAGGTAGTTATGAAATCTCACAACATTTCCTTGGCAAAAATTCACAGATGCCGAAGGACAGCTTCTATATTTGAGGACAATGCTAAGCACCTGAAGCAGGTTAAGTGGTGTTTTTCTTTTTTCCTTTAAAACTCCCTGCACGAAGGCAATGTTCTTCGGCGTCTTAGATGATTTAGAACTGTATATGCTAAATCATCTGGTTTCATTTTAATTACAAGAGCTTACACAAGCCAACAAATAACTTGTATGATCTGATATTTGACCTGGAGAAAATCAGAGGACAGTGGTTTTATGTCATTGTTGTGTCTGGGATATATATATATTCGTTGGATACCCACCCCCTTACCTCGCCCCCCACTCTCTTTCAGATACCTGAAGGGAACTCCGGAAACACCAATACCCCCATTTTCTTGCTTTGTGCCTACATTTCTCTATATACTGCCATCTGAACTTGGCCTGCAAGTATTAGGTCAGATGTCTACGTAAATAACAGGCATCCTATGAACTGTAATTGATTAAAAGGCAGTTTGAAATTAGTAATACTTTGATGGTGATTCTAGCCTTTTGTATTTTAAACTGACAGTGAATTCGCTTCAAAAAAAATTAGTACTCTCATGTCCATCCTCCCCGCATTTCGTAATTCACCCGCATTCTTCTCCTTCCAACAATCTATATACCTATTCCCTTTCCCATTACTTCCACTTGGGCTGGTAAGCAAGGAGAAAAACGCCCGGAAGGATCCACCAGCTCTCCGATAGGTTCTCACTGCAAAAACGCGCCTGGAAGGAGACTCAACCTCAAAGCCACTCGCCGCCGCCGGACCCCGAGGCCTGGACACGGCCCTAATGAGTACGCGCTCTCGGTTCGCCTCGGCCCAGACTCCTCAGGTCTTCGGAATCCCGCCATGAGCGAGAGCTCGGAGGAGGTGGAGGAAGAGGAAGAACCCTCGTGGATGCTCCACCCCGCGGGAGCCCGGGCCCGGGCGCCCAGGGCTCAGCGGCTCACCCAGGGGGCCTAGGGGCGGGGCCTGGCGGGCGCTCAGACTCAGGGGGCGGGGCACAAGCGGGGTAGGGAGAGGCCTCCCCAAAATGCGCGGTGAACCTGCGCCAGTCTGCACGCCTTAGAGAGGATCCTCTCGCGACCCCCAGGGGAGGAGGCAGTCTGTTCTGAGGCTCACTAGCTCGTGGACTTGCTGCTTTTCCCATCCTTCCCCACAGCCTAAGGGCCAGTGTGGAGCACCGCCCCGAGAGGGGCCATCAGGACAGCTCTGCTTTCACTTGCACCTTGCCGCCCTGGCCGCCGACTTGGAGGGGAGGAAGCGGCGGGTGCTCCTGCCGTTGTCATCGCCTCGGGCTCCCCAGGCCGACCCCCACGGCAGGTGAGGGCACAGGACCGGGGTGTGGGGTTGAGGTGGCCCGCAGGGCTGCACTATCCAAAACAGTACCCTGCCGCGAGATTTCCGCCTTTGAAGCAGTCCAGGATAAAATACAGATGGTCCAGGGTCATGACAAGTAATAAGAATTACAGGCACCCAGCTATCTAAAAGTACTCCACTGCCTAACTGCCTTTTTCTTATTTTAGGGAGAAAACCCGGACCCTTTGAAATACAGGCCAGACATGGTGGCATGATTAGTCTGAGAATAACGGGACACAGAGCACCTCAGGGAAAGCAAAGACAAGATTCTCCCTTCCTCCCAGTTGTTAGGTGGCATGGCTCCACTTTTAACTCCTTGCAAATGGTCTGAATTTTCTGAGAATTCAAATTGTCTGGTTTTAGAATAGCAGCCTCTTAACTGAATCCCTCTATTTTGTAGTTCAGCTTAAGTTTTGATTGAACCATCTACTCCAATGGTAGAACAAAGAGTTAAAGGACCAAAAGAGAGTAAGACTTTTAAGGAAAGAAAACAACCTATATACAGGTAATTGCTTATGCACAGCTTATTTCAATTTCTATAGTTACAAAATTACATTTGGTTTATCCAATCAAATTCTGTGTTAGTCGCTAGGAAAATACATAATGTAACATAGACACTCTAACAGGGAAGATGGACAAATAGAAAAACAACTAACTAATTCGGTGTTATATGTTAAATAATAAAAGCATGTACTAGGTACAAAAGTAGCATAACTGAAGGAGTGACTCATTCTGTGGGGTATATGGGGATGGCAGCATAAGAAAAAGTTTCAAGAATGATGCCCACCTGAGGCAGTATTTGAAGCATAAGCAGGAATGTAAAAAGAAAAATGCTCATGAGGTGTACATCAATAAATGACTACAAAATGTTTAGAACAGGGACGAAAGTATAAAGAGGTAAAGAATTCTATTAATTTTAAATTGACAGCAAAGTGATTAGTTGAAAATTGGGATAAAGGGGCTTTTATTCAACTCATATATTAGAGAAATAAAACAACAGTCCTCCATAATTCCCACTCCAGGAAAGACCAGTGTTGTTATTTTGGTGTTTATTAGTTATGTATTCATAACTAACATTGCTTTCTACAGAAATAGAATGTCCATACACTCGAGGCCGAATCAGAAATTGGTTGAGTGTGCTGGCTTTGGCTGTCTCGCCTAGGCTGCCATACAGATCCACCACTTCCCAATTTTGTCACCTTGGGAAATTATTTTTTCCCTCAGTTTCTTCCTTTGCAATAGAACAGGGCTGTAACTGTACAATTGTCAACTGAGATTTTAAATGTTGGAGGAGACTTTGTGCATGGGAAGGAACCCATAAAGCTGCTTTTGTTTTGATATTTAATCTGTGTATGTAATCTGCAAAATTTAAGCCTAATTGTTATTAAGTATTTAAACACAAATCTCAGGTTCATTCATGAATCTATCAATTTTATGTTAAAAATAACATTTTTTCACTTGTTCTTTGATTAATGTTCAGTGAGCTTATTTGACATATTAAACTTCCCATTTAAACATACTTATAAATGTAATAGGGTTTTCTTAAGCATTATATATTAAAGTCACAAAAGCATACAAATCAGATTTTCCACACATTTACACACTTTATGAATTTTCATTTATTAAGTTACCTTAAACATGTCAAATTCACACATTGCTGTACCTGATTGTCTCAGGTAATTCACACCCCTAATGAGGCAGATTTACAGAGAATTGGCCCATTCTCAGCCCAGTCCTAAGCATTTACAGAGTATTCCTTTAGTAGTCTTCCTGAGCACAGAAAGGACATTAGTTAGGACTGCGGGCTCCCAGCTAGACTGCTCTACTACTAATTGACTGTGTAACCTTGGGTAAGTCATGTAACTATTTGTGCCTGTTTCATCATCTGAAAGTGGGGTTGGAAATAGTACTCAACTTACAGAGTTGTTGTGAGCCTTACCTGAGTTAGAGCATGCAAAGCACTTAAAATAGTGCCTGGCAGGTAGCAAGCGCTCAAAAAATATTATGGTGCTAATGTAAATCTAGTAGATAAATTCTCTCAGGCATCTGTGAAGCATAAAAACCAAATCTATACATTAAATCAAATTCACTTAAGTGTTTAACTATTCACTACATCCCTAACTGGCCAAATCCTAGGTATTTTGATAAAAAAATCATTCTGTCAGATTTTTTTTCCGAATTGTGATATTCTCTAAAACATTTCAAATATCTTAAATACAGAGAATACATACAAAAGTAACAACATGAGTTAAAAATGTTACTAGATCTTGTAAATATAAGGTGTTATTAAAATGATATTAATTTCTTCATCATGTTTATGTTATTTGGGGTTGCAGTAATTATCCAAGGACATTATCCAATGGAGAGGGGTACAGGTTTATTTTGGCCATGTTAATCTGACAATATGCGTTCAGCGTTGTCAGTCAAAGATTTGATATTGGGGTTATGGGATTACTGGTCAAAGATTCCAGACTGAGGGTTGGGAGAGTGGGGGAGGAAGGGATGCACCTTCAGGAGTTCTACCTGTCTGCCAGTTAACAAATTGAGCCCCTTGTAATAGCTAGGAGCTGCCTGTCATGTAGTAGAAAATTAAAGCATTTAAGATGGGGTTTATTTTCACAACTTAAGGTATTGCCTATCCCTTAAGAATCTTACAAATTTCACCTTTGCCTAATTTTTATGGTAACTACTTTCAACTTTTCCCTGCTTGATTTGAGAGGATGGAATTCTGTACTTCCCCACTGCCCATTTCAGCTAATCTCTTTGCTCATTAAAGTTAATTTAATTCTCCACCTCCTTTATATTTACTTTCTTATCTAATAAACAGTTTAATGCCATAGTCTTACATCATAGGATCGTTGTAAGCCTTAAATTAAGTTTTGCAAATCACAATGTCTGGTAGTACTTACTCAACATTAATTGTTGTTATTATGTTGTTACTTTTTAAAAATTGAAGTATTGTTGATATACAATCTTATATTGGTTTCAACACATTTGTTCAACAGTTACCCATATTATTAAATCCTCACCCTGCTAGTGCAGTTACTATCTATCAACATAGAAAGATGTTACAGAATCATTGACTGTATTCTCCATGCTATACTACAGTCCCCATGACCAGCTAATATTGTGATTGTGAACAATTGTGCCCTTTTATCCCCCTCCCCTGCCACCTGCCCCAATCCCTCCCCCTTGGTAACCACTAGTGACTTCTCAGTGTCTATGAGTCTACTGCTCTTTTGTTCCTTCTGTTTTGCTTTGTTTTTTATATTTCACAAATAAGTGAAATCATATGGTATTTGTCTTTCTCCACCTGGCTTGTTTCACTTAGCATAATACCCTCTAGATCCATCCATGTTGTTACAAATGGCAGGATTTCTTCTCTTTTTATGGCTGAATAATGCTCTCTGAATATGGCTGAATATGACCTCTTCTTTATCCACTCATCTATTGATGGACACTTAGGTTGCTTCCATATCTTGGCTATTGCAAATAGTGCAGCAATAAACATAGGGTGCATGTATCTTTTCAAATCAGGGATTTTGTTTTCTTCAGGTAAATTCTCAGAAGTGGAATTACTGGATTGAATAATGTTTCTATTTTTAACTTTTTGAGGAACCTCCATACTGCTTTCCACAGTGGTTGCACCAATTTACATTCCCAACAACAGTGTAGGAGGGTTCCCATTTCTCCACATCCTCGCCAACATTTGTTATTTCTTGTCTTTTAGATAGTGGCCATTCTAACTGGTGTGGGGTGATAGCTCATTGTGGTTTTGATTGCATTTCCCTAATGATTAGCAATGTGGAGCATCTTTTCATGTTGGTCATTTATATCTCTTCTTTGGAGAAATGTCTGTTCAGGTCCTCTGCCCATTTTTAATCAGATTATTGTTTTTTTGGTGTTGACATGTATCAGTTCTTTATATATTTTGGATGTTAAACCTTTATCAGGTGAGTTGTTTATGAATATACTGCTACTCCTGCTTTTTTCTCCAATTATTTGCATGAAATATCTTTTTCATCCCTTTGCTTTTAGTTTGTGTATGTCCTTGGGTCCGAAATGAGTCTCTTGTAGGCAGTATATAGATGGGTCTTGTTTCTTTATCCATTCTGCCACTCAACGTCTTTTGATTGGTACATTCAGTCCATTTACATTTAAGGTAATTATTGATAGGTTTGTACTAATTACCATTTTATTAATTGTTTTCTGTTAGTAAAACACAGCTCTTCTCTGTTCCTTTTTTCCTCTCTTATACTCTTCTCTTGTTATTTGATGGTTTTCTTTAGTGTCATGATTAGGTTTCTTTTCTAATTTTTTTGTGTATTTACTGTAGGCTTTAGTTTTGCAGTTACCAAAGGTTCAAGGATAGCTTCTTTACTATATAATAGTATATATTAAGTTGCTGATTACTCTATTTCAAACACAATCTAAGGTACTTTTTTCCTTCTTCTTCCTCCTTCACACTCTACATATGTGTCCTCATCTGCACTTTTTGTGTATCCCTTGACTGATGATGTGTGTAGTTGGTTTTGCTTCTTTTCCTTTTGTTTTAATTTCATACTTGCTTGATAATTAATTGATTTTTACTGTGGGTTTATTTTCACTGTTGAAAACTATTTAGCCTTAGGAACATTTCTATCTACAGTCATCCCTTTAACATATCCTGTAAGGCTGGCTTAATGGTGGTGAATTTCTTCAACTTTCATTTATCTGGAAATTGTTTAATCTCTGCTTGAAGTTTAAATGATAATCTTACTGGGTAGAGGATTCCTGGTTGGAGGTCCTTCTGTTTCAGTACATTAAATATTTCATGCCACTCCCTCCTGGCCTCTGAAGTTTCTGCTGAGAAGTCTGCTTATAGCCTGATGGGGTTTCCTTTATAAGTAATCTTTTTTCTCTCTCTGGCTGCTTTCAACACTTTCTCCTTGTCTTTGATCTTACCATTTTAATTATTATGTGTCTTGGTGTTGTTATCCTGGGATTCCTTTTGTTAGGGGCTCTCTGTGCTTCCAGGCCCTGAGTGTCTATTTCCTTCCCCAGCTTGGGGAAGTTTTCAACAATTATTTTCACAGAAAGACTTTCTATCCCTTTTTATCTCTTCTCCTTCTGGTGCCCCTATTATGCAAATATTGTTTCATTTGGATTGGTCACACAGCTCTCTTATCATTCTTTCCTTCCTAGAGATCCTTTTTTTCTCTCTGAGTCTCAGCTTTATTGTGTTCCTGTTATCTACTTTCTTTCCATCTCATTGACTGTCTCCTCTACTTACAGTAATCTCCTCTCCAATGCCTCCATTGTATGTTTCATTTCAGTTACTGTAGTCTTAAGCTCTGAGTGGCTCTTTTTTCAGTTCATCTCTCTCTTTGTTAAAGTACTCCCTGAGATCGTGAATGTTTTCTGTAAATCAGTAGTATGCTTATAACTTTTACTTTGAAATATGTGTCAAGAAGATTGGTGATCTCCCCATTTCATTTAGCCCTCTTTCTGGTGTCTTGTCCTGTAGTTTTGTTTGGAACATATTCCTTCACTTCCTCATTTTGTCATGGTTTCTGTGTTTCTTCCTTTGTATCAGATGGATCTGCTATGCTCCTGGCCTACAGAGTAACAGCTCTATGAAGAAGGTGTCCTGTGGTGCATAGAAGTTCAAGACTCTTTACTCTCCAGTTCCTGGTTCTCCTTTATGGGATCCCCAGCTGCTGGTGTTCAGTGGGTATGGCTGCTTTTCTGTCTGTCTACTGATAGTGGTCTGGGTCTGCAGTGCTGGCAGTTTGCCTCAGCCACCTTTGTGATCCCAGCCTCTGCTGGGATCACTGTGGGTGGGGTCACTGTCTGCCCACCCTGCAGCATTGGGGGGCTGCAGGTTAATGGGGTGGGTGGCTGTTGTGTGGCTTGGTCAGGAGCAGCACTGGGCTTGGACACCCACAGGGAGAAAGGAGCTCTTGGAGGTGGCTCCTGCAGGCACCTCCCCAGTTGGGCTGAAATGGGCTGAGAAAGCTGGGAGAGTTTCCCTCCACCTGCAATGTCTGATGCTACTCTTGGGCCGAGTGGATTGGCTCCCCAGCAGTGTGCTCAGGGAAGCAGCTCGGGGTTGAGTTGCCAATAAGGGGGATAGAGCATCTGGGGCTCCTAAGAGTTCCTGACCTTTTGGGCCAAGGGAGGGCTGGGAGGTATAATCCACCTGTCCTTTGTACTGAGGAAAGAGCTCCGTCCAATCCTTGCTCCTCTGGCATGCTTCCCACAGTTGGCATGTCTTTCAAACTGCCACCTTTGCTTTGTGTCTCAGGACCAATGGAGCATGCCCATCCTCCACAATCAGCTGGAGTCTCAGCCTTCCAGAGTGTTCTAGCTGTCCCTGTATGTCCAGCCTGCTAATCACCAGACCCCAATATGTAATGTGGACTCATGCCCTTGGAGCAGATCTCCAGAGGCAGGTGTGTAGCACTCTTGAGCTCCTACCCCCCTCCCAGGTCCACCCCTCTTTCCCCTGCTTATGGGCTGGTGTGTGGGGAGGGCTTGGGTCCTAATCAATCACAGCTCTGCCACTTTACCTTTTTCTGTGTAGTCCACTCTTCTCCAGGAGTAGGTGGTCTGTTCTGCAGTCTTCAGGTCAGGATTAGTTGTATTTGCTGTATTTTCTTTTATGTATTTTTGGGAGGAAGTTTTCACCTTGCCTTCCTACTCTGCCATCGTTTTAAAAATTATGTGGTTACTTTATTTTAGTTTGGCTTTTTTCTTTAAATATTTCACATTTTAAAAATATTTGATTAAAATGCAAAAGAACAGTTGTCCTTCAATCAAAACTCAAACTTGTACTGCCTTATGGTAAGACACGGTGTTAATTTCCTATTGCTGCTATAACAAAGCACCATTAATTTAGTGACAATACAAATTTATTATCTAATATTTCTAGAGGTGAGAAATCTAGAATGGTCTGACTGGATGAAAATCAAGGCATTGGCAGCTGAGTGCATTCCTTTTTTGGAGGATCTCAGGAAGAATTTGTTTGCTTGCCTTTTCCAGCTTCTAAAGGCCACCTACATTCCTTGGCTCATGGTCTTTCCTCCAGTAACAGTATCACTCTGACCTCTGCTTTGTCAACATTTCTCCTTCTCGGATTCTGACTCTCCTGCCTCACTCTTTCACTTTTAAGGGCCCCTGTAATTACACTGAAATCACCTAGATGATGATTCAGGATAATCTCCCTTCTCAAGATCCTTAATTTAATCATAACGACAAAGTCCCTTTTGCCATGTAAGGAAATATATTCACAGATTTCAGGAATTAGGATATGTCCATATTTGGGAAGCCGTTATTCTGCGTGCCATAGATTCTATTCCTGAATTTACTAATGATGAAACAAAAAACGCATTATATGACAGCAAAGGGATGGAAAAGGATTCTTATTTCACTGCCCTGTAAACAGACCTCAGCCAAATGCTGACATCATCTGAAGACAAACCCTTTGGCTATTTGTTTCCTTAGCATTGGGCAAATTAAAAAATCTAACAGTTTCTGAGTATCTTCCAGATATTCAGTGATATTATATATACTATATATATTTATAGATGATATCAACCCATATATTCAAACAAGGCAACATGTTCCTACAACTGATAAAACTTAGGAAGTACGTATGTACAAACATATGCACACAGACAAACAGCTGTCCTGAGTAGCCAAAATAGCTGACAAAAGGTATTAAGACTCCTGTGTTTCACTCATAGGCAAACCTTACAACTCACACTCAGATCCCTCCACTTGACTATAGTTCTAATAAGCCTAGTAATCTTATTTCCAATCCTTGGCTGACTTGGAGTAGAAAATTAGAAGGCCAAGAAGGAAAGCTCTAGGCAGGTAAACTGACAGAACTAAGACTTGAAGAAACATATCTCAGTCAGTAATGTGCCTTGTTTATATGATATAGTCAGGTGAAATAAAATTATACCACATTTGTGCATCCAAGAGAAGAAATGAAGATGGGAAGTAAGAGGTGTTTAAAGTAGAATCTATCAATTCTCAAACCTTTGGCCAATCACAAATCTCTCTGGACTTTTACTTCTTCACATAAAAAACTGAGACACTTAGGTGATTCCGGGATTTCAGGTGACAATAGCTTGTCACCAGGAAGACAATTTGAAGTGCTATGTATTGTTTTTAAAGTTATACTTATTCTATAGAAACTATTACTATGAATCTAACACCTTACCAGCACTTACATACATCAGTTGCCTGGGACAATTAAGAATGAGACAGGCAGAGCAATGTGCTTCGATGATGTCAAATTCATCACTTTTTCACAGCCTGAATAGTAACTAATATTTATGATCCTTTAATCTAACCAGCAATTAATGAACAGCTGCTATGTTCCAGGCACCATCATGTTATGTGCTAACTCTTCATGGAAAATTAATTTACTTTTATGTTTCAGAAGACAGGTGAAGAGCAGTAACTTAAAACTTAAAATATGTGAATATTTGATCCATAAATTCTTCCCAAAAGCTGTCCAACAGAAACTATCATGGAAGTGCTCAAAGATACCTGTTCAAAGATACTGATGCATTGCTTGTAATAGTAAAATACTGGATATCCATCAATAGAATGACAGAGACTTGTATACACCAACATAAAATGATGCCCAACATGTAGTACTAGATGACTAAAGAAAGTTGTAAAACAGTATGTTTTTCCTTCTCCATGTACAGATATAAGTATATGCATAAAATATCTCAAGGATATACAACAAAATATTGAGGGATAGGATTTAGGGATTCTTTTTTTCTACATTTTTTAGTGTTTCTTAAAAATTATAAACATCGGGGGGCGGAGCCAGGATGGCGGCGTGAGTAGAGCAGTGGAAATCTCCTCCCAAAAACACATAGAGCTATGAAAATATAACAAAGAAAAATCTTCCTAAAATAGAGACCACAGGACACAGGACAACATCCAGACCACATCCACACCTGCAAGAACCCAGCGCCTTGCGAAGGGGGTAAGATACAAGCCCCAGCCCGGCGGGACCCGAGCGCCCCTCCCCCCGGCTCCCGGCGGGTGGAGAGAAACCGGAGCTTTTTTTTTTTTTGGCGAGCGCTTTTTGGAAGCCTTAGAGGGACGGGCCCCCGTTGCTGGGGAGGCAGGGTGGCGGGACCGGTGAGGAGGTGCCTGGGAACGGCGCCGGAGGACAAAGAATATCCCGCGTTTCTCCCTGCGAGACCTGGGGGCGGGTGCCTGAGACCGGTGCCTGAGGACGGAGGAGGTCGCGCGTTTTTCCCCTTTTTTTTTTTTTCTCTTTTTGGCGAGCGCTTTTTGGAAGCCTTGAAGGGACGGGGACCCCAGTGCTAGGGAGGCACGGTGGCGGGACTGGTGAGCGGGTGGCTGGGACCGGCGCCTGAGGACAAAGAATATCCCCCGTTTTTCCCTGCGGGACCGGTGGGCGGGTGCCTGAGACCGGCACTTGAGGACAGAGGAAATCGCGCGTTTTTCCCCTTTTTTTTTTCTCTTTTCTGCGAGTGCTTTTTGGAAGCCTAAAAGGGACAGGGACCCCGGTGCTAGGGAGGCAGGGCGGCGGGACTGGTGAGCGGGTGCCTGGGACCGGCACCTGAGGACAAAGAATATCCCGCATTTTTCCCTGTGGGACCGGTGGGTGGGTGCCTGAGACCAGCACCTGAGGACGGAAGAAATCGCGCGTTTTTCCCCTTTTTTTTCTCTCTTTTTGCCAAGTGCTTTTTGGAAGCCTTGAAGGGACAGGGACCCCGGTGCTAGGGAGGCAGGGCGGCGGGACTGGTGAGCGGGTGCGTGGGACCAGTGCCTGAGGACCAAGAATATTGAGCGTTCCTTCCCTGCGGGACCGGTGGGTGGGTGCTTTTTGGAAGCCTTGAAAGGACAGGGACCCTGGTGCTAGGGAGACAGGGCAGCAGGACCAGTGCGCGGGTGCCTGGGACCGGCACCTGGGGAAAAAAAAAAAAAAATCGCGTGTTTTTTCTTTTTTTTTTCCTTTCTGTTCCCTCTCTCATTGTTGCTGTTGTTGTTTTGGTTTGGAGAGTGCTTTTTGGAAATCTTAAAGGGGCAGGACAGGTCACTTAGACCAGAAGCAGGGAATCTGGGGATCTCTGGGCACTCTAACCCCCTGGGCAGCAGGGAGCACAGAGGCCCCTTACGGAGATAAATAGTCTCCTGGCTGCTCCCCCTCCAACGGGGCTCCACCATTTTGGAGGAACAGCCCCAGCCAGGCCAAGCCCACAGCAACAGCGGAGATAAACCCCAAAGCAACTGGGCAGGAAGCAGAAGCCCTGTCTGCGCACAGCTGCCCAGCACAAGCCACTAGAGGTCGCTATTCTCCCAGGAAAAGGCTACAAACCAACAAGAAGGGAAGCTCTTCCAGCGGTCACTTGTACCAGCTCTGCAAACTATCTCTATCACCATGAAAAGGCAAAACTACAGGCAGACAAAGATCACAGAGACAACACCTGAGAAGGAGACAGACCTAACTAGTCCTCCTGAAAAAGAATTCAAAATAAAAATCATGAACATGCTGACAGAGATGCAGAAAAAAATGCAAGAGCAATGGGATGAGATGCAGAGAAAAATGCAAGAGCAGTGGGATGAGATGCAGAGAAAAATGCAAGAGCAGTGGGATGAAGTCCGGAAGGAGATCACAGATGTCAGGAAAGAGATCACAGAAGTGAAACAATCCCTGGAAGGATTTATAAGCAGAATGGATAAGATGCAAGAGGCCATTGAAGGAATAGAAGCCAGAGAACAGGAACGTATAGAAGCTGACATAGAGAGAGATAAAAGGATCTCCAGGAATGAAACAACACTAAGAGAAATATGTGACCAATACAAAAGGAAAAACATTCGTATTATAGGGATACCAGAAGAGGAAGAAAGAGGAAAAGGGATAGAAAGTGTCTTTGAAGAAATAATTGCTGAAAACTTCCCCAAACTGGGGGAGGAAATAATCGAACAGACCATGGAATTATACAGAACCCCCAACAGAAAGGATCCAAGGAGGACAACACCAAGACACATAATAATTAAAATGGCAAGGATCAAGGACAAGGAAAGAGTTTTAAAGGCAGCTAGAGAGAAAAAGGTCACCTATAAAGGAAAACCAATCAGGCTAACATCAGACTTCTCAACAGAAACCCTACAGGCCAGAAGAGAATGGCATGATATACTTAATGCAATGAAACAGAAGGGCCTTGAACCAAGGATACTGTATCCAGCACGACTATCATTTAAATATGATGGTGGGATCAAACAATTCCCAGACAAGCAAAAGCTGAGGGAATTTGCTTCCCACAAACCACCTCTACAGGGCATCCTACAGGGACTGCTCTAGATGGGAGCACCCCTAAAAAGAGCACAGAACAAAACACACAACATATGAAGAATGGAGGAGGAGGAATAAGAAGGGAGAGAAGAAAAGACTCTCCAGACAGTGTATATAACAGCTCAATAAGCGAGCTAAGTTAGGCAGTAAGATACTAAAGAAGCTAACCTTGAACCTTTGGTAACCACGAATCTAAAGCCTGCAATGGCAATAAGTACATATCTTTCAATAGTCACCCTAAATGTAAATGGACTTAATGCACCAATCAAAAGACATAGAGTAATAGAATGGATAAAAAAGCAAGACCCATCTATATGCTGCTTACAAGAAACTCACCTTAAACCCAAAGATAAGCATAGACTAAAAGTCAAGGGATGGAAAAACATATTTCAGGCAAACAACAGTGAGAAGAAAGCAGGGGTTGCAGTACTAATATCAGACAAAATAGACTTCAAAACAAAGAAAGTAACAAGAGATAAAGAAGGCCACTACATAATGATAAAGGGCTTAGTCCAACAAGAGGATATAACCATTCTAAATATATATGCACCCAATACAGGAGCACCAGCATATGTGAAGCAAATACTAACAGAACTAAAGAGGGAAATAGACTGCAATGCATTCATTGTAGGAGACTTCAACACACCACTCACCCCAAAGGATAGATCCACCGGGCAGAAAATAAGTAAAGACACACAGGCACTGAACAACACACTAGAACAGATGGACCTAATAGACATCTATAGAACTTTACATCCAAAAGCAACAGGATATACATTCTTCTCAAGTGCACATGGAACATTCTCCAGAATAGACCACATACTAGCTCACAAAAAGAGCCTCAGTAAATTCCACAATATTGAAATTCTACCAACCAATTTTTCAGACCACAAAGGTATGAAAGTAGAAATAAATTCTACAAAGAAAACAAAAAGGCTCACAAACACATGGAGGCTTAACAACATGCTACTAAATAATCAATGGATCAATGAACAAATCAAAATAGAGATCAAGGAATATATAGAAACAAATGACAACAACAACACTAAGCCCCAACTTCTGTGGGATGCAGCGAAAGCAGTCTTAAGAGGAAAGTATATAGCAATCCAGGCACACTTGAAGAAGGAAGAACAATCCCAAATGAATAGTCTAACATCACAATTATTAAAACTGGAAAAAGAAGAACAAATGAGGCCTAAAGTCAGCAGAAGGAGGGACATAATAAAGATCAGAGAAGAAATAAACAAAATTGAGAAGAATAAAACAATAGCAAAAATCAACGAAACCAAGAGCTGGTTCTTTGAGAAAATAAACAAAATAGATAAGCCTCTAGCCCAACTTATTAAGAGAAAAAGAGAGTCAACACAAATCAACATAATCAGAAATGAGAATGGAAAAATCACGACAGACTCCACAGAAATACAAAGAATTATTAAAGACTACTATGAAAACCTATATGCCAACAAGCTGGAAAACCTAGAAGAAATGGACAACTTCCTAGAAAAATACAACCTCCCAAGACTGACCAAGGAAGAAACACAAAAGTTAAACAAACCAATTACAAGCAAAGAAATTGAAACAGTAATCAAAAAACTACCCAAGAACAAAACCCCGGGGCCGGACGGATTTACCTCGGAATTTTATCAGACACACAGAGAAGACATAATACCCATTCTCCTTAAAGTGTTCCACAAAATAGAAGAAGAGGGAATACTCCCAAACTCATTCTATGAAGCCAACATCACCCTAATACCAAAACCAGGCAAAGACCCCACCAAAAAAGAAAATTACAGACCAATATCCCTGATGAATGTAGATGCAAAAATACTCAATAAAATATTAGCAAACAGAATTCAACAGTATATCAAAAGGATCATACACCATGACCAAGTGGGGTTCATCCCAGGGATGCAAGGATGGTACAACATTCGAAAATCCATCAACATCATCCACCACATCAACAAAAAGAAAGACAAAAACCACATGATCATCTCCATAGATGCTGAAAAAGCATTTGACAAAATTCAACATCCATTCATGATAAAAACTCTCAGCAAAATGGGAATAGAGGGCAAGTACCTCAACATAATAAAGGCCATATATGATAAACCCACAGCCAGCATTATACTGAACAGCGAGAAGCTGAAAGCATTTCCACTGAGATCGGGAACCAGACAGGGATGCCCACTCTCCCCACTGTTATTTAACATAGTACTGGAGGTCCTAGCCACGGCAATCAGACAAAACAAAGAAATACAAGGAATCCAGATTGGTAAAGAAGAAGTTAAACTGTCACTATTTGCAGATGATATGATACTGTACATAAAAAACCCTAAAGACTCCACTCCAAAACTACTAGAACTGATATCGGAATACAGCAAAGTTGCAGGATACAAAATCAACACACAGAAATCTGTAGCTTTCCTATACACTAACAACGAATCAATAGAAAGAGAAATCAGGAAAACAATTCCATTCACCATTGCATCAAAAAGAATAAAATACCTAGGAATAAACCTAACCAAGGAAGTGAAAGACTTATACTCTGAAAACTACAAGTCACTCTTAAGAGAAATTAAAGGGGACACTAATAAATGGAAACTCATCCCATGCTCATGGCTAGGAAGAATTAATATCGTCAA